CAGGACTCAAAAGCCTGAATTTTGCCTGAAACTCTCAGACTGAAGAAGTCTCTTGGAAGAGAGAAGAAACGTTTCATTAAAGAAGAACCCGTCCAGAGGACCTATACAATTTTTTTTCCTTTAGAAATCACAATTTCTCTCAATTCCCCTCCGAGTGCAGAGAGCACAGCCAAGCTTCCACAGACTTCAGTTATATTTTAGCTCAAACGTCAAAATTCAGAAATTAGAAGCAAATTTTCTTTCTTTAGTATCTCCTATGTAAAACATTATGGAAAGAAAAATTCAGCTGTGTGGTTTCAGTGTTCTGCTACTTCTATTTAAAGACTTTTTAAGATCTGACTTGCTGGATCGTTTTGRCACAGTGAATGTTTGAAGTTTACTTTTTAGTCAGTGTTTCTATCTGCTTCTCAAGAYGACTATTAGGGAGTAGGAAAGACAATTATTTGGTTACCTTGGTGACCATAATTGATTCACGAGGCTTTCTTAACTTGGATTATTACAAAGTTAATGTTGGTGTTTGGGCACACTTTAAATGTGTTCTAGTTGTTTCATATTACCTGCCATTGTGTTACCGCTCATCAACACTGACGGACACGCTGGAAGACAAAAAAAAAAAAAAGATTTGTTTAATCCTCACCTCTGTGTCAGTGTTTGAGTTCAGTTTACTCCATTTTTATGTTTTTTTATATGTTTCTCACTGGCAGTGGCAGCCTCGCAGACAAAGGTGATGAGCTGCTCCTCTATTTTCTTCACAGCATCCAGATCATCCACGAAAAACACGTGCCGATCGCTGGGCTGACTGGCAATATTCACCAGCTCGCCGTAGTCTGCATCCGCAAAGCCGATTGCAAAGATGATGTAGCCTGACGATGAGAGAAGTACAGTAACACATGAAGTCATTTATTTACTGGGAGTCAGAATGAGAACCTGCTCTGTGCTGAAGGGACGGCTCCAACAAACACATCAGTCATAAAAAAATCACATTCAGATTGATTATTTATTAAAGACTTATTTTAACAGTGATTGCTTTCACATGCTGTCAGAACGCTTTTGTTTGTGTATCTTTGGATGCACAGAGTCAACACAATTCAAAACGGCTGGCATGAGAAGACACATACAGCTACAGCTTTTTCACTTTAACTTTAAAGCTAGCTGTGGTAGCAGCCGAGAGAACTTTAATAGCCAATTTTATATGATGACACACTTTAATGTTTTAGAAAACGAATTAATTTTTTCTGTATAAATTACTAATATAATTTATACATTTGATCAATTTGTTAGCATCACAATATGTACACGCCTAAAAGAGGCTTCCAGCTGATTTTTTAAAAATCCAATCTTCAATGTAGATGTCTTTAAAATGTTCACAAGTGGGCATAAAAAGTTGTCTAAAAAGTTATAGTGTGACACAAAGTCCTATAAGTACATCAACTTTACAGATATTCATTTATAATTTGATGTAATTGTAGCTGAGAATTATTCAGAATTACAACATATAATCCAAGCACAGAAATCCTAGATTTTAATAGAATTATTTATTTGATGAGTAAAACCTGTACCTTCCGTTTGCATATCCTTTGAGACTTTGTTGACRTCGTCTTGTGAACGCCCATCAGTCAGAACCACCAGGACCTTTGGAACGCCTCTCCTGGCTCCTGCTGCCTGAGTGAAAATGGATTCTTTCACATGTTTGATGGCTCGACCTAAGAAGAAACAAAAAATATATATAAACAAACTTGTCTGTTTAGCTACATAAACTAAAGTTGACTCTGGTGGTTAGGGGAAAGTGTTGAAGTGAAACTGATCATGAGAATGTTCAGTCCTGCAGGTCGTTACAATCCTGAATGCTTAAAGAGACACAAGTTCAATTGCTCTGTGGTCTGAAGATGGTTGAACATAAAACCAACAGCCCTTAAACCGTCMGGATCAGCTGTTTCCCCACATACCTTATAATCACCAACTTATTTMCAGCTGTGCAGTTAGAATCACTGTGTAAAACCTGGACATTAAATCATTACTGTTTGCTGATTCTGCTCGAGGCAGGAGCCGAAGCTCTCTCCACTAGACGCTTCCTCTGCAGTCGCAGCCTCTTCAATTAACTGTTCTTTCTAAAAAAAAGATGCAGTTAGCTCTGAAACTAAATTACTTATTGCTGCTTTTAATTATTTTGAGAACCTCCTAAAACAGCTGGATCATTTCCACATTATCCTGCAAATACAACTCCTGTGAAAAATCACTTCGTCGGCATACCGATGCCAAGAAAACTAACTGGAACTGAGCAAAATGAAAAGGAGCAAAACGTTTGGTTGCTTAAATTAGTAACTAAACATTTAGTTAGTTAAGCATTTCCTCCCTCTTATACACATTAACCACTGCGTGCTTTGATGGAAAACTGTCAGAAAAAGAAGCTTGATGATATTACCTCCACAATTGTTTAATACTTTTTTGTTTACCCCTTTAATGTCACTATTTCAGCACAAACCAGAATTGTGGGGGATTTTCCTCTCTTAAATATAATCAARCTTTTTTGTAAAAAACTCCAAAAAGTACACTTTGTAGCTGCTCGAATGTGTTGAGAGTAACTTGACAGCTCGTTTTGCTTCGGTCTAATAAAGTGAACTGGACTATTTCAGAAGTCTGAACTCGGAGCAGATGATGGATGGTTTTGATTATAACGTACAATGTTCAGTCTCTGCAAACACGAGCAGAAACTAACTTAGACTGCGCTGCTTTTGGCTCAAATTAATCTAAATGTTAAAACTTTATTTTCTGAAAGCTAACTGATGGGTTGTTTCAGTTTAATGTCAAACATGAGCATTTTTATTCACAGTAACAGGTTTTAATTGTTCATACTGATCCACGCCTCATCCTCAGCTGACCTTCTCACAAATAAAAMGATGTCCTTCATCATTTATCCTCTCAAATCTTGACTTCTCATTTTCCCCCTCTTCCTCTTGTGTTCTTGATAACGTGAAGTATTAAAACACGTTGAACAGTTTTAACTGTTTAAGTGTCCCATAAATCTGACAGCAACAGAGGAACGTGAGGTGTAATTGATTAACGGTGTATAGTAAACCCTTTGACTAAATCATAGCTCCCTTGTCTCGTTCTTCATTTTAATCAAGCCGTCAGCGATGACAAATGATAGGATGTTCTGTCTGCAAAGAGTGATGTAGGGTATCTGTGAGTGGTACATCTGTTCCTACACTGTCCTCTGATCATGACGGGCAAGTGTGGAATTACAACAGCTAGTCAGGCATGAAGTCACACAGAAAAGAAGGCACCGAGGAAAGAGGAGGCAGCAGTAGATGTAGGAGGATGGGTGGAACAGAAGGATTAAATAAAACCAGACATGTAAGAAACTGAAAATAGAAATTTGTCAAGGCAGGGAGTCTTTAAAGGCCAACATTAATCAGTGATACATTACACTGAACATGTGTAAAATCAAACTAGACTGGTTTATGTTTGTCACTTTTACAGTTTTGTCCCTCCTTCATCATGAATCTTGGAACGTTTTTAGACAGCTCCTAAATTTGAGAAACAAATATGTTGTTGTTAAAAGCAGCTTTTATCAGTCTAATTGCCAAAGCTAAAACTTTCATTCCTAAAAAAAAAAAAAAAAAAAAAGCAACCCATAACCCCCATCAATGTCTTCATCACTACTAGACTGGACTACTGCACTTCTTTATATGTGGGTGTCGAATAATCAGCGTTCATCGCCTGCCGTTTGTCCAGAACGCTGCTGCACGTTTGTGAACAGGTGACCACATCACTCCCTTTTTAGTTGACTAATGGCTTTTTTTCCCACCAGCTCCTCTACAGCATGGTTTGTGTGGTTTTCCATGACACTTCAGCAACAGCTCTAGTGGTTCATCGTATCCCAGAGCCCGAAAATTAACTCCACACATCTTTGGTGGCAATTATAATCCATTAAACTATTTGTTAGCAACAATTAAACATACACAACACAACACAACAGTGGAGGAAATGGTAGCCTTGTTATTTAAAATGGTGGATCAGGTTGTTGTTAGAGTAGCGCTTGTTACGCAACCAGGAACTCCACTTCCTAATCAATCAGTGACTGACAGTYTTCTGATGTTGTGTTTTCAGATGGTACACTTGGAACCACAGCAAAGTAGGTTCTGAAAAGGGGTCTGGTTCCACAAATTCTTGCCAGTGGAAAAGCACTGGAACCGTGGAGAGCCAAGTCAAACTGTGCAGTAGAGGCGCTCGAGGAAAAGAGTTGTTCTGGCTGTCTGGTTTTGAATTGATGTGAACATACTTTAATATACTTTTTTATATACTTAACTTTTTTTACACTGGATTACAATTCCATTTGAGTTCGAGTTTGTTTATTTTTATCCTCTTTTGCTATACTTTTGGTTTTTACTTATTTGATCTTTTTTATTGTAAGTTTTTCCTCTTTGTGAAGCACTTTGTTTAACACTGTTGTTTTTAAATGTGCTATAAAAATAAAATTGATTGATTTGATTGACAACAGTAGATAAAACAGCCCAGTATTTATTGGATAAGGAAGTGGTTCCCAACCTATTTTCCTCAAAGTCGTCTTTCTTACTTCCAAGCCAAGCTGAGCCTCACCAATCCTCTCCACCTCTCCAAAAGAAGCATTCAATCTTTATCTCTTTACCAAACTAATAGAAAAACAAACACTTATTTAGAAAAGGTTAACACACAAGTACATGCATACTGAAGGAACCTACCTTGTGAATAAACCTTTTAAGGACTTTATTATGCATTGCTACCCAATATATCATTCATATCCAGTTTTAAAAACAGTGCAAAAAGTTGGAAATAAAAGTAAAAATATTCTTTATTATTCAGTTGACTGCAGGGGACATTTATACAAATAGGAAGGGAACAATTTAAGAAAAAAATATATAACTAAATCATGAGCTTTACTCCACTCCTGAAAACACATTTTATGATTAAAAAAGTTATATCTGCTTTTTATATTCAGTGAAATTTATTCATGGGCTATTTATACCTCCATCCATGTATCAACTTAGGGAGTCAAACACTGAATTTTTATTTAGATCCTCAAAAACCGCCTTCCTCCAGCTCAAGTGTGTGGCTGCTTCAATGAAACCACAGGAATAAATTACTTCAAGTAATCTAATAATATATAAATTACGCTCTGAGCTAATAATTAGGAAGGAGAAAGTTCATTTCTTAGACGTGCTCTGAGTCCGTCACATTAACACACAAACACGGTCCAGAAAATGACCGCTCGTATTTCATTCAAAGTGGTGAAAAGCTGTTTCCTAACTTGCATAATACACAGTCAAGAAGTGTCAAGGATGAGCACCATTACTCAGTGGAAAATGGTCAAAACACATTTTCCTCATTCATTGTATATGCAGGGTAAAGGACTAAATAACCATTCAGTCAGTTAGAGGCTCACTTATGACTTAATGAATAAATTCAGTGAGGAGCCAAAACCAGAAAATCACCTTCAGGCACCCGACTCCTCAAACTGCTCTTCTAGCATATTATTGAGTTTTCAGAGTAAAACTGACTGTACAGTATTTTAAAAGGCAGCTTCTGGTACATGTCATTCATAAATTTAATAAATACTGTTTTCTCTTGACAATAACTCATTTCAAGTCTTTAAGCAAGAAACATAACCTCTGCTCCTAGTTCAAGCTCTGCAGCCAGCTGAGCGTGGGTCTCAGGTGTGCAGAAGTTGGTGTGACACAAACGCACAAAGGGTTTCACACAAACCATCTCAGAATGAGTGATGAGGGGGGAAAGCATGAACCATCGGACTATGGAAGGGTATATTTGAATACTTTATCAATAAATAAATAAATACTAAGCAAATTATCTAAAGGAGATAAAAAATAAGGCTTCAGAGGCAGAAGTCTCAAACCTTGGTCCTCAGGGTCCACTGTCCTACAAGTTTTAAACGTTTCTCTGCTTCAACACTCCTGATTTAAAATGATGGGTCAAGACCTTCAAAAGAGCCTCTGGGACCAGCAGAATAAATCTTACAGGAAAATGGCCGTTTTGGATTTAGAGCTTCACTGCGAATTTTATACAATTTTAAACAAACTTCTTTGAGGGTTCTCTCGGTACACATAAAATATATCTCAGACTAAAGGTTTTCACCTAAAAATGTATAATTTTACCTTGAAACAGTAGGTGGCTCTAATGTTGTAAGTCTGAACTCAGATCAGGGAATGACCTCAAACCTGATCTTACTGTGTTTCAGTCGCAACACGGAAAACCAGTAGAATTGGCTTCTTGTTGTGCTCAGTGATCAGGCTAACCACCATTAGCATTACAAGCTAATCCCAACGGATTTCTCCTTGCTGTGTGCATTCAAACATTGTAGTGACATGTTCACATATAGTGGCTGTACAACATTGAGTGTTTGAATGATTATATTGACACAAGAGAAGCAAAAATAAACATTTTCACTGCAGTTATCACAAACTTTCACACACAAGTCGGCCATGTTGGATTTTAAGTTGGACGGTGGAGATGTAAAAACAAAATAAATATAATAAAACACAACTGAACTAAATGTTTTGATTAGAAAATCCAAAGCTAACGAATGGGGGTGTTCGATACCAGCCTTTGTACAAACTCATGTACAAAATGCCTTGATACTCAGAGCCTATACAAATACCAGAACAGATAACAGGATACCGGTGTATTGATACTCAATTACAAGCAGACCCAGAAAGGGTGAAAAGTCTAAATATCACATAAACAGGAACAATTTATAAGAATCAAAGCCAGAGAATGACTATGAATATGGCTTAAGTTTTAAGACCATAAAGATTTCAAGCTTACAACAAAAAATTTAAAGAGTCATAATCAACAGTACAACTGCTCTAATATTAATAATGCATGAACTTTGAGCACCAAGCATACTTAGATTTGTTAAAAAAAATCTGATTACCCCCCACAACATTAAAACACCCATGAAAAAATAATTAAAATATTAGAACATAGAAAACTGCTCAAAACCTCAAATTCACACAAAAACTGCGGTAAGTTTCCCTAAGTGAAGCGTTTCATGAGGTAAGCACAAACTAAAAGTTTAGTTGAGTTATTTAAATAAAATCCATATTTATGYCATTATTATTATGCATCCTCACGTTACTTTATGTGCCTAAAGCTTCATAACGGTCATGCTGACTGCAGTGAATCTTTGCCTGTTTGTTTTAGCGCTGCGTTAAGGTGTGCAGAATTTTAGAGAAGGAAAATAATCCACCAGATGAAGAAAGCCGCGCTGAACAAAACAGACTGCTCCTCTTCGTTTGTAGGCCCAAAGGTAAAAACGTCTGGCTTTGTGCGTGCATAAATTAATGTGTTTTTGAGTGGGTACGTTGGAGGTAGAAGTACGAGAGAAATGCAGGAGCATCAGCCTGGATTTTCTTTAAGTTATCAATGCATTTCATGCAAAAAGACAATTAAGGAGACAGAAACTAAGCAAATAAAGTTCATTTAGAAGAAATCCAGAGAATTAAAAAAAAAACTAAAACCTTACTGTCAGAGAATAAATTATAAAAAAGGTAGGAGAAATAAAGCTAGAAATAAAGTAGAAGAACATGGGAGCAGAGATATGAGACCCTGAACATACAGGCTTCTCTGTAGGACACATTTACTCAGCACAGATGTTGAGCTGTGAGACTTTAGCGGAATAAAAACTGTCAGCATTACCTGTAGCATCACAAACCCAGTCAGGCATTGGGTTKTACAGAGGGAGCTTTCATCTCGCTTTTACAGAAGTGCTCGTCAGGCATCCTGATTTTTAGTTAAATATATTTTATAAGTCCTAAATGATAGTAAGGCTCCAGACTGCAACTATTTATTTGGATTTTGTGGGAATTTATGGAGGTACACTGTAAAAAATAACTTGTAAGGTTTACTAGAGAAAATCCTGTAAAAGATTTGCACTAACATTTGTTAGGTAAATTTAAATGCTATGAATTCATGTAATATTTACTCTCATCATTATGTAGTAAAAGTTATTGAGAATATAGTTAAAAATTGTGAATAAATCAGGTAAAATTTACATAATTTGCTCAATTAAATCTTGTAACATATCCTTGATCAAATTAAGTTAAATTTACCTGATTTATTCACAAATCTTTAGCTATATTCTTAATGACTTTTACTAGATAATGATGAGAGTAAATATTACATGAATTTGTAGCATTTAAATTTACTTAACAAATATTAGTGCAAATTGTTACAAGGATTTGTAAATCTTACAAGTTCTTTATTACAGTGCACATGCACAATATTGTAGCATGACACCTCACAGCTACAGGGAGAGGTGTAGCTCTTGTTGTAGTTCAAGACTTCACCACCAGGTGACGGTTTTGAAGAACCTTTATTGGATTCTTCTTCATGAACAACACAAAGAGAAACTCACAGGTCTTATTAATGAAGAGGCCTACCACTCTCACTTATGGTTACTTCTGCTGAACGGTTTTACACAAGTTAACGAATAACAAACACACAATTTAGAGGAACACAACAGACTAATTGCTGAAAGAACAATGTTAACCAATTTCCTAAAAAGATTTAACAACAACAAACATGAATCCTACCCACAATCCTCCACTGCAGTCACATGACAAACAGCCAAACACAGCAGAATGCTACAATATGCATTCCCTGTTCCCTGACAACTAAATATCACCTACATTATGCCATCAAACTATTGCACAACAACAAATGTATTCAAGCAAAAGAAACCTGAAAACTTATGTTTTATTTCGACCATGTCTTGTCCTCTCCTTGAAAAGTGAAGCAAGGGAATGAGGACACTTTGTGTGYGCATGCACCCTCAGTTTTAGCCCAGAAGAGTAGAAGTTACTTAATATATTCATGTTTATGTGCTGTCCAGAAAAAGCACTTAAATATTACTGGTAAAATAATATTAGCATTTACATTTTTGTACAGTAACATTGATATATAATATAATGCATAATTTTTATTTAGTAAATTCTAGTAGTTTAGAATATATTTTTTGTCAAATTTAAAAGAATAATTAAATAAATGTTACTACACCCAAAAATCTTTTTTTTCAGTGTACTGTGACAAAACTGCAGGAGTACCAGTCTGACTTTTTATTTATTACCATTAATTACTGAATCATGCAAAACACCAACAGGACGGATGTATTTCATTATCAAACAGTGAGTATTTACAGTGAGAAATACTGAGCTCTGTATTGAGTCAACTATGTTTAATTGGATGATTTATTTTAAACCAAATTGCTCCATCAGGACCAACAAGGTTTAATGTTTCTCCTTCTCAGGATTATTTTGTCAATACGTCAGGGTGTGTTTAAACATTTTTACTTCTGTGACGGGATGAGCTATTACCAGAATAATCCCCCTAATGGCCTGCGCTCACCTGTCTTGGTGTTTCCTCCCTTGTAGCTGATCTTCTGAATGGCTTCCAGCAGGGCTTCCTTGTTGCCATGGGAACTCAGCTGGAATTCTGTCCGAGCATCGTCGCTAAACTGAGCAACGGCCACCTGGAGAGAAACGCAAAGACGGAGAAATGAGCTGAGCGTTCACAYCAAACAAAATGAGTCAGTGTTCCACTACCATTATTCTGAACCACTTTGTTGCTTCAAAAGGATTATTTATGTGAGAGTGAAGAGTTTGTCATCCACTGTTTATATACTGTATGTCCATCATTTTCTCATCAGAAAACCATTTCCACATTACCACTACCGGTTTGTTTCAGCAGCCTTCAAATCAATGACATTAAACAGCAAGAGGCCAAATTTAAAAAAAAAAATTCTTCTGAGTTACAAAACTACACAGCTGACCTCTGGATCCAACAACCCCAATATCTGCCTGATTGTCACCCAAAACATCTGCTTTTATTTTGAAAGGCTAACACAGTAAGGATAAAAAAAGAAGTACTACTTTAGTTCACTGAAATATTTCCTGATAATGAAATATATTTGATTAAAGTGATAGTTCAAATCCTCACAAGTCAGGTACTGTGGGAAGGTTGTGAATATCTTACCTGCTGTAGAAAGCTCTTTAGAGACATAATTAAATTTCATATTGATGAGCTAATGGCTAGTCTGAGTGAGACAAAGACAAAAGTGAATTGCTGTTGTTTTAAAACTTTTACAGGAGAGACGAAACGTTTCATTAAAGAAGAACCCGTCCAGAGGACTTACTTATTTTTCTTTGTGATTTTTCTACCTGGATTACAGATGCATCAGGACATAAAAGCCCTGTTGAATATAGTTATAGTTGAATAGCTCTGATATAAGATATTCATAACATTTACACAAAAAAACACTTTAAAGATATATGAACCATCCTTTTAAACTATCACAAAGTTTAATGGTTAACAAACCAAAGTGTTCACAACACATAAAAGCTAGAAATTACTTACTGTTTAAAAGACAAATACTATAAAAGATTTTTATTTTTTAGATTGATCAATTATAACTTAAACGTTAAAACTTCTTGATGTCAAACGGAAATTTGTTGCAGATGAAACTATCCTGTGCAGATGTTGGGACTCGCAGATGGGAGCTATAATCAATCTAATTACCTTYTCTAAAAGGGACGGACAACTATCATCACCTCCCGGCCTGATAATGGTGCTGTTGTTGGCTCATGTCAGTCTATATTCACCAGCCAACTTTCTCTTTACTCTGCAGCCAACTTTCTCACATTACAGTCAGTGTTTTTCTGTCGGCAGCCTGCTGCTCGGGGGGTTCAGGGGAACAGTGAGGGAAGCAAAGTGCTTAACAGCAGACATTACACAAATGAAACAAAAGGGTTTAGCAAGCACCTCTGTGGTGTGACAAATGAACCAGCTGAGGCTTGCTGACAAGAGTGGAGGCCATGCAGGAAAGAGGCAAAAAAAATAAATCAGTTCACACAGACAGGAAAGAAACAGCCCCAAGTTAAAGCCTGACTTTGCTATTGATAACCTTAATGCATAAGAAACAGTATAAATCAGGGGAAATGGGGATACTGTGGTAACTTCAGACAGAGAATGCCTACAGAGCAGGAGTCTGCGCTCGAACCACTTGATGTTTATTCCAGCTTTGAATACATCTAGACTTAACTTATTAAAACCACCATTCATGCAGGAGCAGTAATGTTTCCTGGCAAAGAACACAGCAGCAGCAAATGAGCAGAGCTAATCGAATACAGCTCAGCAACAAAAAGTCCCTGCAGAGAGAAAAGACGGAGTCGATAGAGTTCCTCTTCACTTTCCCAAACTTTTCAGTAGAATCTGTGAAGCTGTGACCACTCTGATTTCTCATGGGAGTGCCAAGTGAGTATTGAATAAAAATAGTAATGCTGGAACGTAAAATAATGCCAAACACAGAATCCACTCCAAAAGCAAAGATGAAAGAAAAACATTTGGGTCAAAACAAAATAGTATGAGACACTCTTTGAGTAAATGTCTATTTACATATAAAGCTAAAAGTAACAGAAGGCTAATTAAAAGCTAAAAAACAAATGTTACAGTAGCTGCTAGCTAAAAACAATAAGGGACAAACAAAAGGTTGAAAGTCTCATAAAGACAGCAGAAATCCTAATGAGTAAAAAGGCCAACTGTAAGCTCAAAGTACCAAAAAAAGCAGGCTAAAAGCTAAAATAGCAAAAAGCTAATTGTCAGTATCAAAAGCATGAGCCAGAGCCTAAAAGTAGCAAAAAAGCTAGCTAACATATAATGGTAACAAAAGGATAAAAAAAGCTAGAAGTTCTAAAATGTTAGGGGATAGCTCAAATTGTGAAAACACTGACTGAAAGACAAAAGTATCAGCAGGTTAAGTAAAAAAAGCATTGCTAAAAGTGTYAAAATGCTTGCTAGTTGCCAACTCCTCAGTAAGAAAAGGTCCTTCTGGCTGCCCTAAAAGCACCTAAATTACGTCATCACCTAATTTGCATATTTTGACATGTGGCTTTGGCCCTCTCTATTCCTGCAGTTCTTTTCTCGCTTCTCGGAGTGCTGATGCCTCACCYGTCCTGAAAGCAGCATCCCTAGCTTTCAGCAGAGCTCTCACCTCAGCATTCAGCCAGGGTTTCTGGTTCGGGTAGCAGGTCACTGTCCTGGCGATGGTGACATCACCTGAGATGAAGCTCAGAACAGTAGAGGTGTAATCCTCCAGGTCCACCTCTCCCTCATAAGTAGCCGCCTCTCTGAAGACCTGCCAGTTTGTGCACTGAAAACAGTCCTGGAGCACAGAAGCTGCATCCCTGGGCCACACAGTGACTGTCTTCATCACTGGTCTGACCTGTCGCATCAACGGTCGATATACTGACACCAGCAGGATGGAGATGTGGTCGAAGATGGCTTGCCATAAGGAAGAGCTCTGTATGCTAGTGTACACGCAGTCTGGAGAGTTTTCTCCCCGCGTGGGAAAGGGAGGAAACTTCCTCAAAGGCAGCGTTAATCTTGTCTGATAAATTAAAAAAAATTAAAGTTCTTTGATTGTATCATAGTTTTCTGTTTTCTTCTTTGTTAAGACATATGTGGGAATGAAAGTGTTGCATGCGTTATAACCCTCAGGTACAACCACACCAACTCAACATCTGAAAACTGAATGAAATACAGACATTTTTGTGTTTTGTTGTATCAGTTGGTTGTGGCAGCCATCTTGAGTTGTGTTGACTTAAAACTGTAACTGGCTGTAGAAGTACATGCAGTGCTTATTAACTGAAAGTCTCATTGAAATGCACAAAGTGGTTCATGAGATATATCTTTAACATACGGGTGCACGCACACACAAATATTACTGTTCACCGTCTGAAGAAGGTGAAAACCAAAACGTTCTTTAATTTGAAAAGTACTTTTTCATTTTGAATTGGTAAAACCAAGACAAAACATCTTCTACCTTTTATTTTGGACGGATTAAAAGAGTAATTATGTAATTAAATAATCTCTTCCCTCTACCGACTTAAGCTTTGCTAAATATAGGGTTGTTTTTAAAATGTGCAACATGTCATAACATGAAAGACAACAAGCTTTTTGAATAGCATTTTGGTATCGTAGGTCAGTTTTCTAAGAACTTGCATTAGGACAAAAACAGAAACCAGCAGATTCCACAAACACAACACTGATGCCAGTTACTGAAAAGAGAATCTGCTGAATTACCAGGGGTCTCATGTATAAACGGTGCGTACGCACGTGCGCCAGGTTCAATGCCCACGTTGGGATGTATTAAAACCAACCAACGTTTTCACCTGCCGTGAGAATGTGCAGTAGCCACGCAAAGTTTTTCATTTTAATCCCACAAAGTCATGAATCTGACCTGAATCCACAGAAATATGACTCTGTTCTGTTTTCTGGATGTAAGGAGCGTCTGAACACGGTGTTAGATTTTTATTTTAGTTTTAGTTTTTTTTTTAACTCGAACGATCATGAAACTGAACCCCGGGACTGAAAATCATTTAACCTCAGACAAGAAAATTGATCAGCCATAAAATGATCACAGAACCTCAGTCCAGTCTGYAAACTGTAAAGTTTTTATATTTCTGTCACGAGTTGAAAACACGCAGAGCGCAGGCCTGCGGAGTGCACACACAGCTGAGGAGAATAAAATGTGTGTGAATTGTCTAAGAAACATTTTTAATTTTCACCGAGAAAAAAAATGTTGTCAACTCAGCAGATTAATTCAGAACAGCTCAGCTGTGATGATTCCTCAGCTTCACAAGACGCAATAGATTTATTGCTGCGTAAAGTTGTGCGCATGGATCAATGTCAGCTGTTCCCACACAGCGGCACGCTCACTCCCCCCGCATCAATATATTGACGCTTGGCCAGGTAGCCCTTTATGTCCAGTTTTGACGTGCCGGGTATGCCCCATGCATCAGTTTTTTACTAGATGAGGCGGAGGAGGCGGGCGTGTCGTTTTATTTTATTTTTTACAAAAGTAGGAAATGCGCATTTCTTCACATCAACTATTTAATAAATATTTTTCTAAGTTCTACCAAAGTCATAAATTCCTCTGTGTTTACAGTCATTTATTGAACACGTGTAAAGGTGGAAATATTTCTCAGCCTCATGCGCCGCTGAAAATAACAGCACACGCGCGTACACACCAACACGCCTTTGCGAGTGGCAAACTCATTTTTTCACCCCACTACTTATTTAGACAGTTTTCCCACTCATTCTCCATTTAATGTATGATTTTCCGGCATCTAAAAATAATTTCTGATCCCTCAGAGAGGACAATCTGAGGAGAATCTCACACACTGGACACATTTACATCTATTTTACATATTTAAATGGAKGTGTGCCAGGGGAGGTATCTCACGTGCGCTCAGTTCCACATTCATTGGGATGTATAAAGGAAAGGTGTGCAGGAACCTGCGTGTGCACCGTTTCATACATCTGAATATCTTGGTGCGGCGCACTTTTCTAAATTTGTCTGTGGTCAGCTTTTAGTGTGAAAGCTGCACAATCCTTTATGCATGAGGCCCCTGAAGATTTAAAAGGCCAAAAATGGATCTTTCTTTCTATATATTTCTGAAAACTTTCAGTAATTTAAATACAAATATACATGTGAGAAAAAATGATTTGATAGTTTAAAAATATTGCAAACTTAAAAAAAATGCATATTTAAAAACTAAAAAAACATCAACACTTTTTTCCACCACGCCTCCCTGTTCTCCATCAACCTCAGCACTGTCCCCCCGCCCAGGACTGCATGCTGAATCCACGCTGCTCACCTATGATTGCAGCTGTCAGTTTGCTGAAGTTTGCAGAAACAAACAATTTCTCCAAAGTGACTTTGTTCAAAGAGCTGTCTACAACAGGTAAGATAATGACTGTTCATAATCTTTCCACGGGGGTTCACCTCAACCCATCTGATGTACTTTTATTTATTTTTATTTTTATTTTTTTTTTGTGGTGCAGTGACAAGTGTGGGCATGACCATGTCTGACCTGGGTGCCATCTGGTCCAATCAGATCCAATGACCCCATGGTGCTGTAGAGGAAACGGGTGATCTTCATGAAATTATCATCTCCGATGGACCAGGAGCCATCAACCAGGAACACCAGGTCAGCTTTGGCCTCCTTGCACACTGGACAGACAGAAAGGTAGGAAAACAAATGCATTCATGCCTTTTGTTTCTGCTTTCAAAAAGTAATTTCATACAGACTGAAAGTCAGTGGAGGACAAAGCATCATAGAAATAATTACTGGCTATCTAATATATTCAGACTCTGAATATTCAGTGTGAGGCACTGCAAATACACGTCTGCTTGAAAAGGGTAAATATGTAAGAATTAGGTCTACGGAGCTGAGTCAACACTGCAGAGTTAAAAAAAGAAATGTAGTGTATTTGCACTTTAAATTTCAAAAAGTTCTTTGTCTAAGGTGCTTTCCTTTTGTTAGCTACTCGGTTTTATTCTCTGTCCTGCAGTGACTTTCCTCTCTGCCTTTTTTTTCGTCCTGTGATTTTCAATGACTCCCAGTAGCCGAATCATTGCAGCTGTAAAGTTGTTTAGGGGTTCTAAAGACTTTTCAAGCTCTAAATCATAACATTCCCAGCCTTGTTATGACCCTGCCGATCTCAATAAATTACATAGAAGAAAAAAGGATATAAAACAGTTGTAATTCTAAAGGAACACAGGAGATGAGGGAGGGAGAGGAGAGCAGGGAGCTTCGATGATAATTCTGACCTCCTCTCTATTTATCCTGTCACTTACCATCTGTCTTGAACACGGTCACCACTTTCAGTAAATAACCTTCTGTCAGATCCTCTCTGTTTACTGTCTGCGGCCCTGCTTCTTCCAGCGTGTTCGTTTCCAACCCTTTTGTTTATTTTTTCACCTCGTTGCTTTTTGCTGTCCGTCCTATTTACAGAAAATCCACGCACGCTGCTTTTACTTTTCTCTCGTTTCTGTTGAGTAAAGGTTTCCAGGTGTTTTGCTGCTCTGACAAAGGCCAGAAACTTAAACAAATGCTTTGAGACGAGCTCAGCAGGGAGGGTTGGCTCACGTCCGAGGACCCAGTGTTTCAGGGTGACCTTTCAGGACGAGGATAGCTGTAGGTGGAGGCTCAGAATTCACCATGTCATACTGTATATGTACGTTTAAGCACGACTGCTGAAAATGTCATGCAGGGTTTTAGTCTGCTCTTGTCACATTATGGTTGCATTAGTTGAATTTTGTGTTGTTTCCTAGTCACATTGTAGTGCACCAGGTAAATACATACTCTTGGAAAAATGAGAAATTTAGGTATGTCGTAGAAAGCATCATAAAAATGTAAAATATTTTGGAAAAAAATGCGGGGAAAAAAACTTAAGTAAATCACAGTAAAAGCATTACAACGTATTTTAACCCCAAAATATCCTGAATCATTTTATTAAAGTAAATAATTCAATAAATAAATCAATGGGCAGAGAGTATAACCAAAACCAGGGCATAACCCAACAGTAGACCTGAAGTTATGTCCTTGCTGATCACCGATCTATAAAAAGTCTGATCTGCCAATTTTGATTTTGGCCGATACAGATGTTTTTGAATAACTGACACTGTCAGGTGTTATAATATCACAATACACCTTCAATGTTTTAATCTTATTTTACTGAAAAACAATGAACAATACCATTAAAACAATTCAAACTTGTTTTAACTGGACATTTCTGCTCACAGCAGAGCAAAAGAGGCCAGTGGCTGATTTTCAGAACTTTGTGGAGGCAGATGTTCTTTTCCATCGAGCTTATCTAAGTATCAGCCAATCTCCAAAAATTAAGAAATCCGTGATGGGCTGGAATTACACAAATTTTCACCTAACATCAGATTGAGCGTACAATTTACTAAAAGCAGAACTCCAGCTGTCTAGAAAAGTTCTGTCACATTTGATGTTTGAGTGCAGAAAATTCACCCACACGTGAAAGAACTGGACATTTATGGTGTGGCTCATGCTTACCTTCTTTTGCAGGTGGGATGGTGGGAGGGGGCTCTGTGGTGGGGGGTTCGGTTGGACCCTGAGTGGGTGCAGACACTAAATTTGCACAAACATAAAATAAAACAACACAGTGAGCAAAGACCTGGGGTCGGATTTATAAAACTGGCGTACGCACAGTTTGAGCCCAGAAACTTGCGTACGCCAC